GCTGGGGCTGTGGAGTGTGGCAGGAGAGGAGTCACTGGCTGGGGCTGTGGAGTGTGGCAGGAGAGGAGTCAGTGGCTGGGGCTGTGGAATGTGGTAGGAGACGAGTTGTTGGCTGGGGCCATGGGGTGGGGGATGGGGTGAGTTGGGTTTGGGGCTGGCAAGGAGAATTTGCAAATCAATCAGGATTTGGAAACAGGACTGGCAGAGGGAAGGATGGCTGCGGAGAGTAGAGAAAGCCTGAACAAAAGGAATTTTAGACTATTTCCCATTGCGATGGCAAACGTTGTTTAAGTTTCTAAGTATATTGAAATTAAAAGTGCCATTCTGGGGATGTTGGGAGCCATTGTTTAATTTGTATTGAGGCCGAACGGTATTGTAGTAAAAGATAAGCCTCTTAGGATGGACTTCCAAAAGGAGGCTGAGAGCATTAAGATTAACAGGAGACACCTTTGGGAGAGGTAGACTAAGAGGCTCCAATAGCGAATGGAGGAGGGAGGTAGAGGAAGAAGAGACTGCCTATGACAAGGACGGCGAGAGAGGGCATCCTCTGTCCTGCGGGCTTTGTCTGGAATAGAGGAGGTAGCCACATGTCAGGCATCCCTGAAAAGGAGTAACCGGAGGCCTGGAAGCCGGAAGAAGCCCTTGGCCCGGCGCTGGGTCTTTCGGGAAAGCAGAGACAGTCAAGGGTTCAGGGTAAACGGCAAGAGTCTCTCTTACTTACCCTAGCTGAGGCTCTGATGGTGGATGAGGTTGCCAGCAATGGGGGAGTCTGAGATTCTTGGGTCTAGAAAGAGGTTCAGACTGGGGGGGCTAGACATGGAAGAAAGGAGAGTGGCCAGCACCTACTCCCATCCTGGGTTTCAGCACCAAAATTTTGTTAGTTGCAGGCAGTGAAGGCAGCAGCCTGGCTTAAAGACTGTGGGGGTTATATAGAGAGTTTGCAAGTAGCTGGGTGCTATTCTAAGAAAAACTGCATCTTGGTTCTCAGGGGCTGACATTCTGCTTAACTGGGTCAACATCCTGAGTTCAAGAGCCCGGTGCAACCACATCCTGGAACCTAGGTTCCTGTTTACAAGGCTGGAGGCTGGATTTGTTAGAAGCTCAGCTTAGCAAGGGAGAACGGGAGGGGCTCTATGGGCTTGCCTTGCTGTGACCCTAATTATTGGAGAGACCAGCTCCCAATACATCAATGTGGGTTTAAGATCTCTCAAAATGATAGAGTGGTCAGTGAAAAAGAAAGAGAGACAAGGAAAATGTTTTCCTTAAAGCTGGGCCCAGGGGAGACACCACATAATGCTGCTCCATGGATGTCTGACATTCCCTTGAAAACCTCAGTTTTTTTATTGTGCTCCTTCAATAGGGGTGGGAGAGCGAGGTTAAGCAAAGTTTCAGTGATAATTATACAGAAAGAATACATTTGCAAAAACTGGTGCACAAAAATCACAATGTGGTATTGTAAAAGCAGAACGGTGTAAAGATAACTTTCTGTGTGTCAGCATAGAAATCATACACCGTAGCAAGAATATAGGTTAAACATAAACTCATGATTATCAGCAAAAACATATTGGGCTCACAGCTACAGGCAGAACAGGATCTCACACAGGACAAACAGCCTGACCACAAAAACCACAAAAGGAGGGGCCTCCATGCAGGCCTGGAGCAGTGGGAGAAGAAAGACTTTTACATCCTTATCTCAACCACAGAGAGATGCCCCTCATGTAGCTGTTTATAGGCTCTCCGTAAGGGTCACATTCCCTTTCCAGGGCCCTAATCAATATGCCTTTCCTGGGAAAGGAAGCTGGGTAATAAGCCTCTCCATTACACATCAGTATGGCGCTGTATATTTTGACGTGGCCTGACTCATCCTGGATTCTGAAAACAATGTAGGGAGAGGGAAGATATTGGAGTGGTTTCTTAACCTCTTGCCCATTTCCACCGTGATTGCTCAAGTACATGCAAAATTCATATTTCCTTCTGCCCGTTTGATGTTCCTTTTTTAGTCTGTGTATATTAATCACCCCTAAAGCACCAGGATCCTCTCTCAAACTTTAAGATGAGACATCATTAACAGACACAGTGAATCCCCAGATTTTCCTAATAGTTGGGCAACAAGTTTCTGCATTTAAGGATCTTGCAACATAGCCCAGTTCTGCAATTATATACTTTCTATTTTTGTTTTCCTAGGTTCTCTGCTATTTCAAGAGTATCCCTGTGGTAAGTGTATTGATATTGATAACATTTACATCACCTTTTTATTTTGCTAGATTATTTACTGGGCAACCTATCACATACATTTAAAACACTGGTATGTTATATATGTATGGAAAGAGAGAACTGGAGTCTCACTCTGTTGATCAGGCTGGATTGCAGTGGTGTGATCCTGGCTCACTGCAACCTCTGTCTCCCAGGTTCAAGCCATTCTCCTGCTTCAGCCTCCCAAGTAGCTGGGATTGCAGGGACCCACCATGCTCCACTAATTTTTATATCCTTAGTAGAGACAGTTTTTCACCAAGTTGGCCAAGCTGGTCTCAAACTCCTGACCTCAAATGATCCACCAGTCTTGGCCTCCCAGAGTTCTGGGATTATGGGCATAAACCATCGTGCCTAGCCCACGTTATATTTCTAATCTTCATAACAAGGTTCATTCCCATCTTAGGGTGAGGAAAATGAAGGAAGAATAGCTAATTCCAACGTCATGCAGCTAGTAAGTGGCTACCTGATATTTGAACTCAGACGGTCTCAAAAGTTTTAACATTGTTTTGGCACTTCCAGATTCCCTATCTCATTTGGAATCATTGCTTCTTTTTACAGACAAGAAACTGAGGCCCAGAAAGACTAAATGAATTTCCTTAATCGTTCATTGACAGTAAACTAGAAAGCCAGGACTCTTGCTCTATAGTGGAACAGTTATGCGAGTAAACATGGCCTTTAGTTAACTTCCATTTCACAAGAAATACATGGGCTAGAACATAAATTCAACAACAACATGAGGAAGTAACCCAGAAGGTCAAAAGTTCTATAGAGACAATTATTCTGTTCTCTTCAACAAATCAATGTTTTTTCTAGAATAAAAGAGCCTTATAAGACATATAAAGGAAACTGAGTATCTCAGTTGAATCTTAGTGTGAAAAAACCAGTATTGTGATTATATAAGAAAAAGTACTTAATTTTTAAAGATAGGAAGTGACCACTAGAGTTTAAATGTCACGATGTCTCTAGCTGTAACATAAATAATCTAGTAAAATAAAAGGATGGTGTAAGGGTAGCCAAAGCCACATTCAGCAACTCACACCTCAAAGCCAAACATGAAAGATGATAGTTTGTGGGACAAGAAGCAGGTTTCTTCAGAGAGCAAGCCAGCAAACTGAGAATATGGTAAACTAGCATCCCAAAGTACCCTCTTAAGTGAGTACAAGATTCAGGCCCTTTATTTGAAAGGCACAAGAAAGAGAAGGAAGTTACAATCAAGAGGTGACCGTTGACTGCAGACGTCTGAGCACCATCACGGGTCAAAGAAGGTCGGGAGTGTCTTTGTCCCCTGATGTTCCAGTGGGCCCAAGCTTTGATTTGTTGAAGAGAACAGTAAATTGTCTCTACAGAATGTCGATTTCCTGGGCTGCTTCTATGTGTTGTTGTTTAACTTATGTTCTAGCCCCTGTATTTCTTTTCAAACGGAAGTTACCTAAAGATTATATTTATTCTCCAGGTCACAACACTCCTATAAATCTTTAACGATGCATAGTTGTTTACATACTTTCCCTTTAATCCCAGGGTTAGTTTTTAAAACTACATGACTGCTGTTTTATGCATGTTATCTCACTGCTCTAAAATTAACCTAGCTTCCATAAATAAATAGGTAAAGAGCCCTTGAACAAAAATATAGTTATGTTAGTTCTTTTACTGTTTCACTGTTATATGTTGACAAAAAATGAACAATTATTAACTCTATGTGATAGGTATGTGGAGGTTCATTATACCACTCTCTTTTTTTCTATAATAAATTCCTCATAATAAAAAATCTGGAAAGTATATTATCTCAGTTTTATGACATTGAGTAAAGTTTAAGCTCCCTGGGTGTTCAAACTTTTTACCAGTTAAATGGATGTATAATACCTATCTCATAGAGTTATAAGAATTACATGAGATAGTTGATGAAAAGCACTTAGAACAGGGTGAAGTGCACCATATGCCTACTCCGTTTGGTTATTGAATGTATCTTTAGAAAGTTATCTTTTTCAAGGGCCTAACATGTGCCAGCCATTGTTTTAGACATTGAGGTACTAAGGACAGACATGGCTGCTGTTGTCAATGGTATTTATCTTTCCAATGGTATTTATTACTATTGAAGATGTCACTATTTTATTTAAAGTTTGTTTATCCTCTTTTAGGGAGACATCAGAGGAAAGATAGAAGGAAAATACCTCTTTAAACAAAAAAACCTAAAGCAGCAACTAACGTTTCTGAATATCATCCTGGGCAAACTTTCCAGATTTCTTTTTAAAATCTCATTCCAAATTTCTTTCATCAGCTCTTTCCTCACCACTTCCCTGTAATTTTAGCTTCCCTGGCCATCTTCATCTTAAACGGAGACCAGATTTTAACCTCAATGTAACTAGAACACCTTTTTGAAATTTCCAACTGAAAATTATTCTGTAAGGTATTTACACCTGCATTTGAATTCCATCTCTGCCATATAGCTCTGGCCTTGGGCAGCTCATCCACCTCTAAGCTATACTTTCCCCATCAGCAAAGTGTAGATATACCTAATTTGTCTGGCATCTATAAGAATTTACAACTGGAGATAAATTTCATAAAGTGTTTAGTATCATTTTCATAAAGTGCCTGACATGCAGTGTTCTGGAAAAGAGAGCTTTTATTGTTGGGGTGATTATAGTTGGTGAATAAACTATCTATTTGCTAAGGTAACATCTCCAGGGAGAGCAAGGCTGGAGCTCAAGGGGAAAGGTGGGACATAGGACATCAGCTTATCTTTTCCTCTGTACAATTAATGACAGCTTTGAAGATACTACTATAACTTGAAAATTTGAAATTAGTGTTTCAGCTGAACTATCCATTCATCTTCCGGCCATCATGACCTATAAGAAGAAGAGATCAAGGGAAGACTCAGTCAATGAAAAACGTAATATGAAAATTGAGCACTATCTTTTTCCGGTATGTCTGTAAATTCTACTTATATAATACAGTCATCTCTTTGTATCCATGTGGGATTTGATCCAGGAACTCATTGGATACCAAAATCCATGAAGCCTCAAGTCCTTTATATAACATGGCATAGTATTGCCATATAATGTATCACATGCTACTGTGTACTTTAAATTATCTCTAGATTACTTATTTTACCTAATGAAAGGTAAATGCTATTTAAATGTTGGTATACTATATTGCTTATTGAATGATGGCAAGAAAAAGTCTATACATGTTTAGTTCAGGCACACTAACTTTTTTTCCCCAAATATTTTCAATCTGTGGTTGGTAGAACCCATAGATACAGAACCCATGGGTACTGAAGCCTGACCGTTTACCAATATTACCTGCTATCCTTGGCATTAGGATTTATAGTTACCCTTGCCAAGAAATTACCTTGTGTGTTGGGAATATTAAATAAGATAAAATCATTCTTACTCATTTTATCCTTTCTATTTTGGGGGTAGCATGGGAAAATGATTTGTAATACAAATCTTAGCTATATCAAAGCAGTCTTTTTTTTTTTTTTTTTTTTTTTTTTTGAGACGGAATTTTGCTCTTGTTGCCCAGGCTGGAGGGCAATGGCACAATCTTGGCTCACCATAACCTCCGCCCCCCAGGTTCAAGCAATTCTCCTGCCGCAGCCTACAGAGTAGCTGGGATTATAGGCATGCACCACCACACCTGGGTAATGTTTTGTATTTTTAGTAGAGATGGGTTTTCACCATGTTGGTCAGGTCGGTCCCAAACTCCTGACCTCAGATGATCTGCCTGCCTTGGCCTCCTAAAATGCTGGGATTATAGGCGTGAGCCACGGCACCCAGCCCAAACAGTTTTTAATAAAAAACTATTATTCCTTGAACAACAACAAAAAAATTCAATATAATATGTTACAGTAAACTATGTAGTAAACCAAAATTAATACTATTTCATAGCATGAAAACATATACCATTCCAAACATGGCTGATCTATTCAGTCGTAATTATAACCTACATTTGAATACAGTTTATAAAACAATGTTTTATGTATTTGTTCTTACCATAACCTTGTTAAGGCACTTAGGAAGAATTCTGACAAATCTTCAATTTGTTTATTGGAGGAGAGAGGGAAAGTGAGTCGTTGCTTGAGGCAGGAATGAAGTGAGACTTGGAGTTAAGTTTAATGCCATGTAGTTGGGCCTTTTTCTACTGGATTAGGCTCTGTTATCATATCAAACCATTGTATCTTTCCCTGAGTCTAAAATGCTCCTTGAATTTATCAAGAAAAAAGACAGAGGAATGGTAAACATTTGAGTGTGAAGCTTACAATTTCTCCACTTGTTTCCTTTTGTCCTGATTCTGGAAAACTAGAATATCCAAGTATTTAGAAAGTCTAAGGCAAACTTAGTTATGTTTTTCTCTGCCCTACTCCATGACAGAGCTAATTACTATATCCTATTCCTCTTCCCCTTTCAGAACGATCTATATTTGCCCAAGAATCATTTAAATTCATAGGAAGTTTATTACAGTACTCCAATGGAGTGCATGACAAAAATGTTTCTGACAGCATTAGGCTGAAGGGATGCTGTGAGAGTTTACATGTATGCCCAGAGTAAATCTGTATTACCTTAAGTTCTATTTATTCATTTATTTTTGATCTGGAATATTAGTATAAAGAAAGAAAACAAATGTTAATGTATTATGTGCTAGTCACTGTGCTAGGTATTGTCATACAATAATGCCACACTTAATCTTTACAATATTTCTGGCATTGTTATTCCCGTTGGTAGTAAGGGGCATGGCTGGCATATGAACCCATAACTGCTGGTACCCATGCCATGATGAATATGACTTGGGAAAAATGTGTCTTTTAGACATAGGAAACAGACACTCCAATTTTTCATCGTGTTTCTTCTATTTGATTGATCCTCTTTATTTAATTCCTCTCACCATCTCTACCGTTTCTTGTGATAATGCCCTGCAAAAATGACAATCATAAATACAAAGTTTACAAAAAAGAATATATACTTTAATCCAATGGAAAAAATAATTGCACTAGAAATTGCAATTTTGATACTTTATTTATTGATTATTATGTAGTCCTAGAAAAGACACCTATAAGAAAAACTTTCTGTATCTTAGTTTTTCCGTCAAAGGGACAGAACCGTCATGTTTGTTCCTCTTTATTTTATAAAATTTTGGGATTAATTGATGTAATAGAGAAATAATTTGAGGTTTGCATGATATATGCTGGGTGAATAAATGTATTTATTATTACAAATAAGTATATTTTAACCAAATGATTAGTTAAATAATGATGATTTTGTTTAATATGTATTGCCTATAATAAATTGTGGTAGCTTATTGCTGAAGTCAGTATTTCAAGAACAAACTTTTGGCTGTATTTCATCATTGTCCTCAGAAAATATAAAAATTATATAGCTGAAGATAATAAACAAGACCTGAATTAACACTATTTCAGATACTAGTGGACTTCGTTCTTTTTTTGAGATGGAGTTTTGCTTTTGTTGCCCAGGCTGGAGTGCAATGGCGTGATCTCGGCCCACTGCAACCTCCACCTCTCAGGTTCAAGTGATTCTCCAGCTCCAGCCTCAGCCTCAGTAGCTGGGATTACAGGCACGTGCCACCACACCCCGCTAATTTTTGTATTTTTAATAGAGACAGGGTTTCACTATGTTGGTCAGGCTGATCTTGAACTCCTGACCTCAGATGATCCACACGCCTCAGCCTCCCAAAGTGCTGGGATTGCAGGCATGAGCTACCATGTCCGGCCACTAGTGGACTTTTAAGAATTTGTGGTTTTGATGCACCTGGGAAAAACTTGTTTCTTCTCTCATATTTTTTTTTTTTTTTTTTTGAGACGGAGTTTCGCTCCTTACCCAGGCTGGAGTGCAACGGCGATCTTGGCTCACCGCAACCTCCACCTCCTGGGTTCAAGCAATTCTGCTGCCTCAGCCTCCCAAGTAGCTGGGACTACAGGCCATGACCATGCCCAGCTAATTTTTTGTATTTTTAGTAGAGACAGGTTTCACCATGTTAACCAGGATGGTCTTGATCTCTTGACCTTGTAACCCACCCGCCTCTGCCTCCCAAAATGCTGGGATTATAGGCATGACCTACCTCGCCTGGCCCCCTCTCTCATATTTTTCAGANACCTTTTTGAAATTTCCAATTGAAAATTATTCTATAAGGTATTTATACCTCCATTGAATTCCATCTCTGCCACGTAGCTCTGCCTTTGGCAGTTTGTCTACCTTCTCTGAGATATACTTTCTGTCAGCAAAGTGTAGATATACCCAATTTTCCTGGTATCTATGAGAACTTGCAACTAGAGATAAGTTTCATAAAGTGTTTATTATAATTTTCATAAAGTACCTGACACACAGTGCTCTGGAAAAGAGAGCTTTTATTGTTGGGGTGATTATAGTTGGTGAATAAACTATGTTTGCAAAGATAACATCTCCAGGTAGAGCAAAGCTGGAGCTCAAGGGGAAAGGTGGGACATAGGACATCAGCTAATCTTTTCCTCTGTACAATTAATGACAGCTTTGAAGATACTACTATAACTTGAAAGTTTGAAGTTAGTGTTTCAGCTGAACTATCCATTCATCTTCCAGCCATCATGAGCTGTAAGAAGCAGAGGTCACAGAATAACTCGGTCAATGAAAAAAGGAATGTGAAAATCGAGCACTATTTTTCTCCGGTATGTGTATAAATTCTACTTGTGTAATATAGTCATCTCTTGGTACCTATGTGGAATTTGTTACAAGACATCCCTTGGATACCAAAATCCATGAATGCTTAAGTCCTTTATATAACATGGCATATTATTGACATAACGTATCATATGCTCCCGTATACTTTAAATCATCTTTAGATTATTTATATTACCTAATACAAGGTAATTGCTAAGTAAAATGTTGATATACTGTGTTGCTTAGGAAATAATGACCAGAAAAAGTCTATATACATGCTCAGTTCAGGCAAATTTCCTGAAACTTTTCAATTAAAAATATCCCTGAATATATTCCATCTGCGGTTGGTTGAACCCATAGATACAGAACCCACGGATACTGAAGCCTGACTGTTTACCAATATTAGACTTAGCTATCCTTGACATTGGATTTTATAGTTCTTCTTGCCAAGAAATTACCTTGTGTGTTGGGAATATTAAATAAGTTAAAATCATTTTTTACTGATTTTATCTTTTCTATTTTGGGGGTAGCATGGAGAAGGGAGTTGTAATGCGTATCTTGGCTATATCAAAGCAGTCTTTAATAAAAAACTATTGTAATATTCCTTGAAAAACAACCAAAAAATTCAATACAATATGTTACAGTAAACTATGTAATAAACCAAAATTAATACTATTTCATAGCATGAAAACATACATCATTCCAAATTGAATATGGCTGATCTATTCAATCGTTATTATAACCTACATTTGAATACAGTTTATAAAACAATGTTTTATGTATTTGCTCTTACCATAGCCTTGTTAGGCAGTTAGGAAGGATTCTGACACATCTTCAATTTGTTTATTGGAGGAGACAGGGAAAGTGAGTCGTTGCTTGAGGCAGGAATGAAGTGAGACTTGGGGTTAAGTTTAATGACATGTAGTTGGGCCTTTTTCTACTAATTGGGCTCTGTTATCATATCAAACCATTGTATCTTTCCCTGTGTCTAAAATGCTCCTTGAATTTATCAAGAAAAAAGGTAGAGGAATAGTAAGCATTTGAGTGTGAAGCTTATCAATTTCTCAACTTGTTTTCTCTTGTCCTGATTCTGGAAAACTAGAATATCCAAGTATCTAGAAAGTCTAAGGCAAACTTGGTTATGTTTTTCTCTGCCCTACTCCATCACAGAGCTAATTACTATATTCTATTCCTCTTCCCCTTTCAGAAGGGTCTACATCTGCCCAAGAATCATTTTAATAAATAGGAAGTTTATTATAGTATTCCAATAGGGTACATGACAAAGATGTTTCTGATAGCATTAGGCTGAAGGGATGCTCTATGAGAGTTTATATGTATGCCCAGGGTAAACCTGTATTACCTTAAGTTCCATTTATTCATTTATTTTTGATCTGGAGTATTGGTATAAAGAAAGATAACAAATGTAAATATATTATTTGTTAGTCATTGTGCTAGGTATTGTCATACAATGATGCTACACTTAATCTTTACAGTATTTCTGGCATTGCTATTCCCATTAGTCGTAAGGGGCATGGCTGGCATATGAACCTACATCTGCTGGTACCCATGCCATGATGAATATGACTTGGGGAAAATGTGTCTTTTAGACATAGGAAACAGATACTCTAATTTTTCTTCAAGTTTCTACTATTTGATTAGTCCTCTTTATTTAATTCCTCTCCTCAACGCCACCCGTTTCTTACAATAATGCCCTACAAAAATGGCAATCATAAATACAAAGTTTACAAAAAAGAATATATACACTAGTCCAATGGAAAAAAATAATTGCACTAGAAATTGTAATTTTGATACTCACTATATTTATTGGTTATTATGTGGCCCTAGAAAAGACGCCTACAAAAAAACTTCCTGTGCCTTAGTTTCTCCATCAAAAGGACAGAACAGTCATCTTTGTTCCTCTTTATTTTATAAAATTTTGGGATTAGTTGATGTCCTAGAGAAAATAATTTGAGTTTTCATGATATATGCTGGGTGAATAAAAGTATTTATTACTACAAATAACTATATTATAACCAAATGATTAGTTAAATAATCATGATTTTGTTTTATATGTAATTCTTATAATAAATTATTACAGCTTATTGCCGAATTCAGTATTTCAAGAACAAATTTTTGGCTGTAATTCATCATTGTCCTCAGAAAATATGAAAATTACGTAGCTGAAGATATAAAAGAAGACCTGAAATAACACTATTTTGAATACTAGTGGACTTTTTTTTTTTTTTGAGTTGGAGTTTTGCTTTTGTTGCCCATCCTGGAGTGCAATGGGGCGATCTCGGCTCACTGCAACCTCTACCTCCCAGGTTCAAGTGATTCTCCAGCCTTAGCCTCCCGAGTAGCTGGGATTACAGGCATGTACAACCACAGCCAGCTAATTTTTGTATTTTTAGTAGAGATAGGGTTTCACCATGTTGGTTAGACTGCTCTTGAACTCCTGACCCTCAGGTGATCCACGTGCCTCAGCCTCCAAAAGTGCTGGGATTGCAGGCATGAGCCACCATGCCCAGTCACTAGTGGACATTTAAGAACCTCTGTTTTTGATGCACCTCGGAAAAAATTGTTTCTTCCCTCATATTTTATAGAAAAATAGTATAGTAGTATCAAGAGTTTATCTGACAGATGTTATAGGAAGCTCAGCTTTCATTTTGGGTCCCAAGTCAAACACTGATTTAATTCTATTCACTGGCCCTCTTAGATTGGTTCTGAGTTTCTCATAGGAATTTCGTGAATTGCATACCTGAAAAGAGAAAAAAAAGACTATGGTTGCAGTCAGAGTTTTAAAGTATCTAACATTTATTTTTAGGTCTCTAAAAAGCAAAAGATTAATCCCAGTACTTCTCAAATGAGGATGGTGTCTGGAGGCAGCCCAAGTGAAATAACTAATACCCATGCTCAAAGATTCCATTCACCTAAGAAAAATCCAGAAGACCAGACCATGCCCCAAAATCAGATAATACATGTTACCCTGGATGTAAACCACAGGAAAAACCAAAATGTGAAATATGTGCTCCCACCCAGTGAGAATAATAGCTTATATATAGCTCTCAAGACTCTGCAGGCTGTCAGAAAAGAGATAGAAACACACCAAGGCCAAGAAATCCTTGTGCATGGAGCAGAAGGAATCGAAGAGTACATAAACCTTGGAATGCCCCTCACTTGTTTTCCTGAAAAATGCCATGTGGTCGTTACCTTTTACAAAAGTAAAAGTAAGCAGAAGGAAAATAACCAAGTACGTAGCCGGTGTGGCAAGGCATCGACTGAATGTGTCAAATTCTACATTCATGCAATTGGAATTGGGAAGTATAAAAGAAAAATTGTTAAATGTGGGAAGCTTCACAAAAAGGGTTGCAAACTCTGTGTCTATGCTTTCAAAGGAGAAACCATCAAGGATGCTCTGTGCAAGGATGGCAGATTTCGTTCCTTTCTGGAGAATGATGATTGGAAACTCATTGAAAACCATGACTCCATTTTAGAAAACACCCACCTAGTGGATCAATTAGAAGACAAAGTCTTCCAGGTTGAGGTTGAGAAAAGAATGGGCCCCAGTGAAGCAGGTCCTCAGAATCCTGAGTCAGAGAAAAGAAACGCCTGTGTGTTGAGAGAACAAACCATGTCTCAGTACCCCAGTTTGAAAAGAGAAAGTGAAAAAATCAGGGAAAACTTCAACAAAAAAATGAAAGGAAAAAATGGGAAAACATTATTTAAATTGCATAGAACAAACTTTGGGAAAGTAACAAAAAACTCTTACTCTGCTAAAGTACTGAAAATTCTTGCACATCTCAGTGACTCAGTTGGGCACTTATTCTGGGACGGTGCAACTGCAGGTTGTGCCACCTGCTTTGCTTTTAAAGGACTGTTCATTTTAACTTGTCAGCATGTAATAAATCTCATTGTGGGAAAAGGAATAGAGCCAAGTAAGTGGGCAGACATAATTGGTCAATGTGTAAGGGTGACATTTCATTATGAAGAGCCACAAGAAAAGGAAATGAACTGCTTTTCCGTCGAAACTTGGTATGAGATATATAATGAAGAGCTTGACTATGTTGTCCTGAAACTGAAGGAAAATGGACAACAGGTACCTATGGAACTATACAATGGAATTGCTCCTGTGCCACTTAGTGGGTTGATACATATTATTGGCCATCCAAATGGAGAAAAAAAGCAAACTGATGCTTGTGTTGTGATTCCTCAGGATAAGCGAGCAGAGAAATGTCAGGAACGTATTCAGGCTAAAGAAGTAGAAAGTCCAGAGTATGTTCATATGTACACTCAAAGAAGTTTCCAGAAAATAGTTCCCAACCCTTATGTGATTACCTATGACACTGAGTTTTTCTTTGGGGCTTCTGGCTCCCCAGTGTTTGATTCAAAAGGTTCATTGGTGGCCATGCATGCTGCTGGCTTTGCTTATGAGTACCAAAATGAGATTCGCAGTATCATTGAGTTTGGCTCTACTGTGGAATCCATCCTCTATGATATGAAGCTAAGATATCAACCATGGTATGAAGAAGTATTTGTAAGTTATCGGGATGTAGAAATGATGAGTGCTGAGGACTTATGAGAATTCAGTCTATTAGATTTAAGGGAATAGCTTATAGAGTTGTTATTTCATAGGCATTAATTATGGTTTTCTAAATTCCAAAATGGTCAGTTTTATCAATAATAATACTATTGACCATTTCCTATCTGCCAGGCATTTTTCTAAGCACATGAAGAAATTAGTCTTAACAAAACTATGAGATGGACCATAACTTGCCCTATTTTAAAGTCAAGCAATGTGAAGAATAAGAAGATTAAAAAAATAATCGTTTTTTTAATATAAAAAAACATATAGTCACTTTTTTTTTCATCTGTAATATTTTAATCTAAATTCATTAGCTACAGGGCAGGAATCAAAACTTATTCATCTCGGCCGGGCGCGGTGGCCCACGCCTGTAATCCCAGCACTTTGGGAGGCCGAGGCGGGTGGATCACGAGGTCAAGAGATCGAGACCATCCTGGTCAACATGGTGAAACCCCGTCTCTACTAAAAATACAA